ATTGTAGTCGGTGAGTTTACTATTTTCTTTTAAAACTTCGTTGTTACTACTACTTCTACTTCCTGTTATCTTCTTCGTCATCGTCTTTTTCACCAGTAGAAACAGCCGGTTGTTGATCACGTGACTCCCGTGATGCGAAAAAAGTGTTTCCATTGCAGTTTTGCGAAAAACACCAATTTCAATACGGCCGAAAAACCACCTCATCCTAGCGCAAAAACATTTTATCGAAAAACGTAATTTTTTTTCAAAATTGACGTGTTTCCATTGAGCAAATTTATTTTCAAAATTCTAATTTGCGCATTTTCATGGTCAATGGAAACACAGCTACTGAGAGTAAACATGAAATGTAAGTAACTACAAGAGACATTTAGATCACATTTAAGCACACATGTAGACCACAAATACTAATATTTGATCAATTTACGAAATGCCCMATGAGCCTTTGCTGCTTAAGCGTACGTCAAACTTTCTCCAAGTCAACGGTCTAAAAATCAAACACAAAATATGTCTGCCGCACTAGTTGCTAGCTTAATCATAAAAAGGCCTTTACTGAAGCAGTATTTGTATYTTATGTATTATATTACTGCATTTGGTCGCAGCGCTCGGGTAGATTCTTATTTTGGCCCTCTTGAGGAWAAACTTTGGGCACCCCTGCTTCAAACAGAGATAGAATCAACAAGTCTCCATCTCATTGCCTGCTTGCTCCAACAGTATAAACACAACATTTTTATTTCAGAAATGCGGAACTGTTTTAGGGGTATGACATCATATCCGGGGTGTGACCAGGGTTTCACAGTGTAACACCGGAGATTAAATCCTACAAAAGATAAATATATTTTTATCATTTTACAGCAAAAATCATATCCGGGGTGTGACCAGGGTTTCAATGAGTCTGCTCGGCATGAACCACACCAGTGTTACACCATATTTTGTGACCGTCATATATTGTGACCAGAGTGGGCGCTGTCGCATTTATACAACAGAACTTGGCCGAAAATAGCCACAAAGAAGAATATGATTGATTTGATTTGATTTGATTTATTTATTTAACAGGAAAAGATTATTAAAAATCAAGCCTGACTCAGCATAATTGCTGTTTTACAGCAGGTTCATGTTCTGCAGCACATAAACACTCAGAATTAC